AACATACGAGCTTTGGCCGTGATTGTAATATAATGGTGTCATTTTGCGGAAAAAACACCCAATCAGAGGGTACGTGCCACGTACCTGTTGGCAAGAGAGTGTTTGAGGATGAATCAAAGTGATACACCCGACACAACATTCACTCTTTATGAGCTGAGGTTAATTTCAAATTTATCACCCCCGACAAACGGTTGCGGGAGGTGGATGTGTTTTAGTTTTAAGTTTTTTAAGTGATAGATTTTATTTCAAGAATTTGAGCTTTTGTTTGATTTGAGATTTAACCCATCAAGTTGAGATTTTCTGTCAATGCAGCCATCATCGGGGTGACATTAAAGTCACTTGTATTTTTGTAGGATTTTGGTAAGCATTTTGTAATTCAAGTGATGTCGACCCCAGTCCTTTCGAGGAGGATGAAACTTGAATATTAGACCCACGCAGCATTCTCGAATCGTTGGATTTGGGACTTAAATGTGCGATTGGAGCACATGCGGGTTATATCATTTGACTTTGCGCAGCATTCTCGAATATTTGTATTTGTAACTTTAATAGGTATGTCGGAGCACATGCAGAGTTTATTTAGTTCAAGGGATCATATTTAATATATAAGGGGCATTTTAAAATATTTAAATATCATCCATTTAATCAAGTGATTTCATTTAGAAAAATGCCTGATATTTCATTTAAGGGCCTACGAATGCCTTCTGTCTGCTTTTACACATGTTGCGGATCCGGTGGCGTATAAGTGTATTAGATTTCACTTTTCACTATAAGCATCTTTATCATTCGAATCTTGAGCCTCTATATTCATGTTCATACTATCATATGTTTTTATCATTGTGATGAAGATAGTATAATAAAACTTATATCTATTTCCTTCATGAGCAAGACAATTCTCTTATCACATTTAACTCACACACATGTCTTGATTACATTGTTAAGGAGCATTAAGAACAACACTGGTTTAGTGTCTTATTTATAATCTCTTATTTGGCATATTCATTAACAAGCATACATTAAGTAATGGAGCTTGGTTTGACACATCATTAATGCTTTATAACATCAACAATAACATGATGGGTTGCACTTATTGATATTAATGATCAATTGCCCTAGAAGTTATTTCATATTTGTAGGAAGTTGGCTCAACCTAACACAATAATTTATTAATTGATCTTGACCTTTCACAAGCAACATAAGTAAGATGTCTTGATAACTCAAAACATAGTAAAAATCATCTATCAAATGAATATTTATTTTAGAGATGTTGATTCATTTACTAGCTTTAGTTACCAATCTCACAGTTAAAGTTGATACTGCAAATTATGTACCTAAAAAGTTGTTAGCACCAAATCCGCTTCCATACATAAGTCATTGATGTATTTGATCATTTCTTTCATTATGTAACTCTTCCACCAACAAATCTTAATAACTTGACAATTTATAATGTCTAGATCTTCCTCAATTGAAAGCCAACTTGAGCATTTTCTTGAATTAGATTTTAATTTGACTTGGAAGTCCAAATTACTTTACTTAATATGCAATATTCCTTGCAACTAGACTTTATTATTGGAAAGCTTCCTAGATCTTTAACCTTCTAAATTTTCTCTTCCAATAATTTTCAAAATCCATAAAACATTATGGGGAGCTTTGCACTTTAAATGAAATTTGTTGTCTTTTGAAAGATTATTTTCTTTATTTCATTTTCATCCAAATTCATTAATTTTCCTTATGAAAATTTATTTTTTTTTTCAAATTTTTATTTAAGGAAAATTTCGGCAGCCTTCTGGCGTCCCCTCCCTGGCGCCGAGAGGTAAGGAATGGCTCGACTCGACCGGAGCGAATCGACGGCGAGGCGATTAAGTCTTCAAAAGCATTGATTGGCGAAGATTGGTTGCAAATCGAATGGTTGTCGATGATTGGATGCAGATTGTAGTTGATTGCAGATGCTCGATTGGAGATTCCTTTTTCTTATTTTAATTTATCAATTAATTAATATTATAATTATTTTCAAATTGAATGATCATTTGAGCATTTTTCAATCATTCCAAAAATTTGGCTAACTCTCAAAACTTTGGAGGAAATTTCGGCAGCCTTCCGACGTCCCCTCCCTGACGCCAGGAGGTAAGGAGGGCTCGACTCGGTCGGAATAAATCGACGAGGAGGAGATTGGAAGAGTAATGTCTGCGCTCCCTCAGTCGGATAATCTTGACGACCGAGAGCTTCAGGGGACTGGCTCAACCCCGGCCTTGGTCGATGGCGGAGGTAGCAGGCTGACGAGTCCGGAGTCAGCATTGGAGGAAAGTGGCGGTCCGACGGGTAGTTCGTCCAGATCTAGGGCATGTCGGGTTCGGACAGCGAGGAGCAAGCGTCGATCGCAGAAGGTTGGCGGTTGGTTTCTGCCGGCAGATGTAGAGAAGTCGTGGTCGGAGATGGAACAGAATGTCGGCTAGGGCACGTCGAGTGCAGAGGAGGAAGCAGCTTCGGCGTGGGAGTCGGGGCTTGGGAGGTAAGTTTCCTTTTCTTGTATGAGATTTTCTTCCGGTTTTGAATGCCTGAGTCTGTGAATGGGAGAGGTTTCTCTCTTTTATGTCGTGAGTAGTGACGGTTGTGCGATCATGGGCGGTTTTGGTTGTGGGGGAAATTGGGTCATGCAAACCGAATGAGGTGTCGGGTTTGGCCGATAGTTATAGGTCAACAAAGCTAACCTAAATGCTACATCTAATGTGGAAGTCGTAAGACCTACCCAAACATACATGCTAATATAGAAGACGTAAGACCTACCTAAACATACAGGCAACTCCTAAACGGAGCCATAAGCCTCGACTTAAACTTAAACCTACGGGCAACTCCTAAATGGAGTCGTAAGTCCTGATCTAAACCTAAATTACGGGCAACTTCCAAGCGGAGGCATAAGCCTCAATCGAAACCAAACCACCATAGCACTAAAACCCACATATAACCACTTCAGTTTATTCGGGATCCTTGAGAGAAGGAAACCCATGGCTGCTAATCAGACTTTCTGGATACTACGATCAATAATTGTTAGTATTGGTAGACTGAAACCTACGGTATTCCCGGGATGACAGAACCATGGGACCTTGATCGGGTCTACCTCCATCCCCCACAACCAAGGTTAAAGCACTTGCACATCTAAAATTAATTCATCCTTAATCAAGAGTTCTCTTCTACGTGATAGAAGGGATAATTAACTATGCGAGCTTGCGCTCATAAGAAGTAGGAACCCTGAACTAAATAAACCTAGATATAATTATCGGGGGAAATCCGATTAATTAACATCCAATCTATCTCAAGGAAAAGTGGAACCTTAAGCCTAAGAAGTGGGGTTCGTGCTAATAGCAACATATTTTCCTTAGCTAACATCTCTCTCTCTCTCTCTCTCTCTCTCTGTGTCCCCTCCAATTCAAGTCACAGCCCCAGCACACAAACTTTTTTTTTTTTTGGTCTTTGACTCTACCAAACAGATCAAAATCGATTTGTTCATGTGAGGAGTTGCGTCCTCTTAATATCATTCAAACTTGCTCCGCTCACCTGCTCAATCTGTTCAACTGACAGTTACATCCTAGAAGTGCTTTAACAGCTTCGTGGAGTTGGTTATACTTATATAGCATATGCTAATAAGAGGCTTGAAGGAGAAAGGTCATCAAATTTTGATAAATCATAAATTATTAGATATGACAGTTTTATAAAGTGAGCTCCAAAATTTTGATCAGCGTTTGGTGAAATCATTTTGTATGTGTTGACTATTTGTTTTCTTCACCAACCGAAAGGCAATGGTCCATTTTTAAATCTGCTCAAAGAAAATATTGTCTATTTCTGATTATAATAGATGAGAAAATTTAGGGAAACTACTATAATTCTGTTATTCCTTCTGCTTTGTTTGCAATGTAAATGGAACCTTTCACAGAAATTTTTGAAGTTATACGTGCTTAAAATACATGTATGAGTTCGAGTCAAAGTCTTGATGATAGGATCCTTGGTTTGCAAATGTTATATTTGTTTTGCTCCATGATCTAAGCTATTTTTCAATTTGTCTATTTACAACTAGATGAAATAGAATTCCCACTGTATTTTTAGAAATGGATGAAACATATAATTTACTTTGTTTTTTCTAAAAGTTTGTTAGATTATATTATTTTATTGTCATATTTATGTGATCATTCTTTTTTCACCCGAGAGATAATTTTCATCGACGGCCTTATTATATCACATGAACCACTGTCAGCTATAATGCTTAGGCTGCTAAGGTGTGACTTTGACCTAAGGATAATTCTATACAACATAGTTATCTCAATTATCTTGTAGACAATAAAGCAAAAGTTTACCTTGCAGTTCTTAATGCTACAAGCACTCTTACGGATCCCAACATTGTAGATTATTCTATATCGTTGAAGAATTTAAGATAATATGATTATCATGCAAATTCAACCTCATCTTGTTTGTTGAATGGAGTAATGATTAAAGGTTAAAAGGATTTAAAAGCATTATTATATATGCAATCATTTAACTGATATTGTTGAGCTATTGTTGGAACAATTATTAAAGGTTTAGTGGCTGCGGCATCCTATATGTAGCTGTTATTGTCTACAGGTTTCCATCTAATGAATTGATTGAGTCTATATTCATGTTGCAGATTCTTGATGAGATGCCTGTATTCTACAATCTGAATACTGTAGAGAAACGGGAAGTCTTAATTGTCTTCCTGCAAGTCATGAGAAATCTAGACGATGCGTTCCTTGTTAAAGCATGGCAGCAGGGTGTTGCTCGAACAAGACTGTTTTTCAAGCTTCTAGAAGAATGCCTTACTCTTTTTGAGGTCTGTACAAATAAATAAATAAATAACAGCTTTAAAATCTTTATAATTCATCTCATTTGGTGACAATTACATGTCAGTTGGCTCATAGTCTTTCCTTGTTATTACAGCATCGGAGAGAAGGGGATTGCTTGCTAATTAACTCTAGCTCTCGTAGTCCTGATTCTGAAGGGCCCATTATGCCCAAGTATTCTGATCTCCTTTCTCCATCAATTAATGCATACCTCTCTGAAGCTTCCCGTCAAGAACATAGAGTATGCTTCTTTACACTGCTTTGATTCATTGTTTCTATATAACTCTGCTTCCATCATCCTAGCATCAAGAAGTTTTTTTTTTGTGCGTTTTATTATTTAATTATTATATAGGAGCTGTAATAGGTCCATTGTAGTTGTTGGGGGAATGATTTTTTGCGATATGCAATTCATAATGATTAATTGAACTTGAAGAGTTAATTTTCATTATGTTGACGTACTGGAGTCCAAAAATCAGCACTTTTATCTTTACATATGATTAACAAAATTGCCATCATCAATGGTATGATACTTATCTTGAGTGTGAAAAGTCATTAATTGTTATATTCATCTTCACTATTAGTCTTATTCCAATCATTTTCATAGACTCTTATTCTTCATTCCTTCATATTAAGTGCAATTTGACATCTTAAACCTATGTTAAACAAACTTTTTGCACATCATTTAACCCTTTTATCTTGATCCACCTTTTTTTTATCTTACTAATTTGCCATTTATTTTATTTAATCCTTTTTATTCACGTTTCTTCCACCTTTTTGTTGGATATGGACAAGACGCATAAGTCTATTTTTCATTATTTAATATTTAATATATGTTAATACTGTCATTCTATTCTTGTTGGTTTTGCCTCGCATTTATTTTAACATTTTTATTTTTTTCATCCTCAACTTGTTTGTCAATGTCTTTCGGCCTACCTAGCACTCATATCCATATAATATAGTTTGCTAATTGCAATTTTATAGCATTTATCTTTTAAATCTTTATGAAATTGTCCTTTAATGTAGTAACTATTTTAGCCATCAAATTTCATCTCTAGAAGTTATATCCTCATTCTCTATTCAAGGGGGGGTGTTTTTTCTCCCTTAGATGCTCATACCATCTCATTCTATTTTATCATTGTTCATCCAATCTCGTTCAATTTTTTTGTTTATTACATTCACTAGATATCCTCCCATTAGCTTCTCTAGTGTAATCATCGCATAATTCATCATTAACAATTATGTTTCCTTCCATTCTTTTATCTCATCGAGTTATGGAAGCATTCTACTTGAAGTGCAACTAATTTAGATTAAACTAAAATATATGCAAGGGTAAAGACTTTTTTGGTAGCTGATGAACATTATGCTTTTGTTATAGGACCCAAAGACAAAGTAGTTAAGCAAAGTCAATTTCTAACTTTGGGTTAGAAGTTTGATATTTTAACATATTTTTTAATGAAACTATTAACCATACAACTTTTATTTTCAATATACATTACTAAATAATAAACTTTCATTTAGTTTATTCTCTCTATTAATTATGTTTCTCTTATAAATTGTAATTAATTAAATTATATTCTTATTCCAGTTTAAAAGTCATAGTTACTGCTAGACACCCTTTAATGCTTGGTATATCACTATAATTATATTTTTAACTTCTAATTTATTTCAATATATAATTTGTATATCATCCCTTCATATATATATATAATTACATACATACATACATACATACATAAACACACATATTTTAATTGACCATAGTAATCACCCTTATTTCGACAAAATAAAATTATAATAATATTTTAAATCCTAATAAAATTTTCTTGTATATTATTTGCATTTTTATTCGTTGTCCCTCAATAGCCCTAAACATATTTGTAGATTATTTTGTAATTCAAAAGTAGAATCTAATGTTTACTATTTTAATATTTATTATTAGATAACATCTTAAATTTAGTTTTGCCAAAACCCTGACCGAAAATTTCCTTAAAAATTAAATACTAAATCTAGGATTTTGTAATTTGAGGAAATAGTAAAATAAATGTCAGATAAATTTCATCAAGACCAAAAAACCTTAACATTTCTTAAGCAAAACTCAACTTCATCTGGTTAATCGAAATATGTGCGCTTAGTTGGATCCGTGAGAAATCCCAATTCACTTACCCTTGCATGCGGGTTGTGTGTTTGTTCGGCTCTTTCCTCAATTTTGATCTTTCTCCAGGGTCAACTGCTAGTCTCACCCGTCCTAGTTGGTATCTCTCTGTTTGCTCAGTTTCTCTCTCTTTTTTTCTCTCTCTCTCTCTCTCTCTCTCATCTCCTTTCTCTTTGGTTCTCCTGCTTGCTCTCTATCTCTCACTATCTTTGACTTTCCCTCCCCCATGCTAAAAAGGAGGCGATGAAGAGTCAGTTCATTGAACTGGCCAGAGCTGGTTTATATGCATAAACGGGATTTTGTGAGCTATTTGAATAAAATGATGTAAACAGGAGACTTATGTAGTTATATAGCTTTATGTATATCCAGTTTACCTATTTTACACATTTTGTTTTAATTTTACTTGGCTAGTCCTCCAAATTCAGATGAACAAACTTCAAAGTTGGTTTCAACGGTTATCTTTCCAATTAAAAGAAAATCGCTCAGGATGTGAAATTCAGCATTGAGGCAGTTTGGCCGACTTCGTTAATATGTTCGAATTGAGTATTTTTGCTTTAGCTAAATGCATTATAAACATGTATGGCAGCCTCAGGGAACACCTGAAAATGGGTACATGTGGCACCGAGTTAGTCCACAGATTAGCTCACCAAGTCAACCATACTCTTTGCGGGAAGCTCTTGCACAGGCACAATCCTCTAGAATTGGAGCTTCAACAAGAGCACTAAGAGAGTCTTTGCACCCTTTATTGAGACAGAAGCTGGTATGTTTTAATGTAAAATCTTCTCGCCCGGTTTCCCTGTTGAACATGTGTGACTGATACGACTTATGATTTGGGAATGCTTTATACAGGAACTGTGGGAAGAGAATTTAAGTGCTGCAGTAAGTCTTTTGGTTTTGGAGTTAACAGATAAGTTTTCAAATGCTGCAGCATCACATAGTATTTCAACTGATTATTCAAAGCTAGATTGCATTACAACAATACTGACAAGCATCTTTTCTCGGAGTCAACCTTTAACTTTTTGGAAAGCTTTCTTTCCTGTTTTCAATAATGTATTTAATCTGCATGGTGCAACGCTCATGGCAAGGGAGAATGACCGTTTTTTGAAGCAAGTTGCTTTTCATCTTCTAAGGCTTGCTGTTTTCCGAAATGATTCAATTAGGAGAAGAGCTGTCATTGGACTTCAGATACTTATAAGGGTAGGCAAATGCTTCATCAAGCTATAGTGGTACTGATTAAACTAGTTTGATTTTTTTTTTTTTTTTGATGCAGAATTCTTTTTACTATTTCGTGCATACTACACGGCTCAGAGTTATGCTGACAATTACATTATCAGAGCTGATGTCCGAAGTACAAGTAACTCGGATGAGGTCTGATGGATCTCTGGAGGAGACTGGTGAGGCTCGATTTTTAAGGAAATCTTTGGAAGAAATGGCAGATGAAGATAGGAGTTCAGATCTAGTTAGAGATTGTGGACTTCCACCCAACGCACTAGATGCAATTCATGAGGGTTCCGCGGATAACTGTTGGATTTGGTTAGAAGTCAAATATCTATCAGATTGTCTTCTTTTGGCATTGGATGCTGGCACAGAACACGCACTTCTGGTAATTCATAAAGCCTTTAACATTTCCTGGTTGTTATTGTTAGAAAATTTTATAGCCGTCTTTAGCCTTGAAACTTTTGGATACATTTTTTTTCTACTGAGAACATATTTCATGTGCGACTGTAGGAGAATTTCAATCATTTTAAATCAAACTGTAGTGATCTTGATACATTGGAACTAAAAAGTATATATGGATCTCGAAAAATCATGGAGTTATGTAATGAATTGTACTTGTAGTTATAATTGTGCGTCTTTAGCCTTGAAACTTTTGGCTATCATTATCATTAGCCTAACCCAAACCATTTGGGTAGGCTTTATAAATTTTTATTCTTCATTCATTATTTCAAGTGTTCCTTCAGATCTTAAGCCTATTCTTCACAAATTGTTTTGAACAGCTATGTATGTTATCTTTGATTTATTGTCATCTTTCTTAATCCCCCAACACTGATTTTATCTACCTCTCTAATTGGTGAGTTTCATGTCTTTATTGTACATGTCCAACCAAGTCCATATGCACTATTTTTTTTCTATCTAATTGGATTTGCATATAATTATTATTTATGACGACATCATCATCATCAGTCTTATCCCAACTATTTTTGACTAGCTTTATGAATCCTCATTTTTATTCATTCTTTCCAAGTATTGCATGAGATGTTAAACCTATTTTGCGCAAATCTTTTGTCCAAGTTTATGTATGTTTGCATCAATATACTTATTCTTCATAATCTTTTTCAATATTAATTTCATTTACTCATCTTTTTATTGCATCTTCTGCCATTTATCGTTGTACATGTATAGACTGCCTAATTCTATTTTTCATTTTTTTTTTTAAAATAGATATTATTCAAAGCATTCCTTTAACATAATTATTTATTAATATATCTTATCTAAATTCATCCGGCTTAACATTGTCAATATAGTTAGCAGTTACTTTGTAACTATTTAATGCTCACATTCAAACCGTATGATGACAAGAATTAGAAAGAATTTATTAAGTATTTCATTTCATCACTTGTGCTGAATATATACTAGTCTATCGGAACCTCTAATCAGAAATATATAAAATTAGCGAATGAAAAATAAATACAAAATTAATTATAATTAGAAAAATCTATGGCTAGTGAGGTGTTAATAATGTTCTTATGGATAATTAGATTACATTAAGCAAAAAAGGAAGATGAAATACATGATTGTTAAAATTGGGCTGTGTATGTAGGAGGTTGTTTTGTTGGATTTTGATTTTATACATATAACCCTCGTAGTTTCAAATTTATAAATCACTTCGTCATAGCTCTAGGAGTTATATCCATCATTATTGTTATATATTAAATCTTAGATGGTTAAATATATCACACATTGGTATCACTTCATCTTATCATACTAATGTTCGATAATTGTTAATATCACACCAAATAAAATTACCTATTATGTATTTTATCGCAAACTTTTCATCTTGTAATTTTTTTCTTATGTTCTAAAGTTTCACTTTATCTCGGGGCATGCAAAAATCTACTGAGTTTGTATTTTTTCCTTATAAAGCAACAATTTTTTTTCTCGAATAGTCATGACATGAATATGTTCTCACTAGACATTTGTAAATTCTATAAGATGGTGGTGAGACCTGCAATGCTTTATGGTGCCGAATGTTGGCCATTAAAAGAGAAGCATATTGCTAATTTAAGTGGTTTCATAGATGAGGATGCTTAGGTGGATGAGTGGCTTGACCCTTAGAGATAGGATATGAAATGAGCATATACGTGAAAAAGGTTGGAGTACCTCCAGTGGAAGATAAGATTAGAGAGAGTTGCCTTAGATGGTTTGCTCACATTAAATGGAGGCCTTCCGATGACCCGGTTAGGAAAGTTGAGGTATTAGATTTGACTTATGTTAAGAAAGGTAGAGGTAGACCTAAAAAAACTTGGTTAGAAATTATTAGAAATGATCTTTCTTTAGTAGATTTAAATGAGAATTTGACTTTTAATTGGACACAATGGCCAAAAAGGATTCATGTAGCTGACCCCACATAGTGGGACAAAGGCTTGATGATGCAGCACTACGTATGCAATGTTAATTCACTTAGATTTTGCACAACTTATGATCAGAATAATTTTAGAATAAATCTACTAGCAAATTCAAACAACGAAATAAAGCAATTAGTGGTTATCTGCTTAGATTTGAAATCACATGATAAGAATTTTGAAGCTTCCAAAATAAATAGTAAATCAACACGATGAGACGTTGTAGTTTTCAAACTAATCCCTAATCTAACAATGAGAATTAGGATGCATTGAGGTGCACTCAACTCCTACGATTACTAAGCTTAAGTAAGAGCAATGCGGAAGAGTCCGTCGTGACTGCAATCAAACCAATGAGAGTTTAGACTAAAAGGAATAAGATGCAATGGAAAGAGAAACCTTCGTTAGGGAGAGGTGGAGATCCTCCACTCAATGCCTTCGAAGTGTTCGTCGATAGCCTCTACCAAATAGATCAACGTGCGCTCCATGTAATCCTAGACGGTGAGATCAACTCTTGGATTCACGTCGAAGAAAGTAGATTGTAGGATGTCGACGAAGCCGTCTTCGTTCGAAGTTATTTCGTAGTCAGTTGCCGGATCCGCCATTCATGGATGCTCGGTGGTAAAACTCTTCCCACTTGGTGGTGCACTTGAAGATTGGAGAAGAGGAAGAAGTTCCTCTTGCAATTTGAAAGGGAGAAGAGCCAAGGTCAAAATCTGAAATAAACTTACAGGTTTTTGCAAGGTGGAAAGCTATGGAGGGAAGGGTAATAAATCTGGAATAAGTTCAGATTTAGGTGAAGGGATTTGCTGTGATCCTCCCTTTAATTAATTCCCTTTGATTTGGGAATAACTAAAGAAGAGGAAGAAAAGGAAGAGGGGGCTGGCGGGTAGAGAGAGAGGTGGAGATTTGGAAAAATTCCCAAATAGAAGAGGAGATCAATTGGAAGGAAAATAATTAAAAGGGGGGCAATGGGAATTTCGGTCAAGGGGGGTGAGGGGGTTTTGAATTGTTTCTAATAGAGGACGTGGGGGAATTAGGAAATAATTCCTAATTGAAATCCATGATGGGGCTGGCGGCTACAGAGGGAGGGGAGGGATTTAATGAGGCTATTTAAGGCTTCTTAATTTGGTTTAAAGAATTAGGAAAGTAGATAATTTAATCCAATTTAAATTTCAAATTCAAATGGATTTAAATTAGGAACTTTCCTAAAATAGATTAACTAAATTAGGAAAGGATTTGAAATTTAAATTTGAATAATTTCAAATTCAAATCAATCCCTAAATTAGTCCCAACCAAAATAGGAAATCACAAGGAGGTGGGGAAGAGGTTAGAGCCGGCGACATGAGGGCTCTCGGGTGGGGCTTGGCCGTGGAAGTGGAAGGGGAGGACTTGGGCTCGGGTGAGGGCTTTAGGAGGTGGATTGGGCCGTGGGTTTTGGAGTGGGGAGGAGGGGCTCGGGTGATGAGAAGGTGGGCCGGTGGTGGAGATAAGGGGAAGGGAGGGGGAGGGAAAGGGAAGAAGAACCAAGAGCCACCGGTGGTGACTGTTGGATACGACGGGTGGCCTCTCCTAGGCTCCACCAAGTTCTCTAATTCTCTCTCTCAAGCTCTCTCATAAGCTCTAAAAAAACAAGTGCAGGAAATTTTTTTCATAATCATTCATTAACATGAAACAATAAGCAAAGGGCTATATATAGCGAAGTACAATGGACTCAAAGAAATAAAAGACTCAAATGCCCCTTTGGGTTCATACATGACACATCCCATTAAAGGGGTACAAATGGAAAGACAAAATAATAATAAGCAAATAAAAATACATAAGCAGTGAAATAACAAAAGGACTCAGAAATACAAAGACTCGATCGTGGTCGTAGATCGGCGGCCACGTCTCTGATAAACCTTCCACGATCTGATGTCCCCATCACTTGATGTTGATGTTGTTGTAGTCATGACATGAATCCTTCATGTTGAAGGTAAACTTGAATTATGGAGGTCAATCTTAGAGTATAAAGGTTTTCGTTTGAGTAGATCTAAAATTGAATACATAGTGTAATTTTAGTAATAATAGATCTAGTGGGGGGATTGTGACTTTGAGCTATCAAGTTTTTAATAAGAGTACATGTTTTAGATATCATTGTTCTATTGTTTAAAGTGACGGTGAAATAGATGGGGATATTATTAGTAGAATTCAAGTTGGATGGTTGAAGTGGGCATCGAGCTTGTTGTGTGATAGGAAAGTTTCCCTCAAACTTAAGGAAAAATTATATAAGATGGTAGTGAGACCTGCAATGCTTTATGGTGCAAAATGTTGGCCATTAAAAAGTAGCATAATATTAATTTAAGTGTTGCAGAGATGAGGATGCTCAGGTGGATGAGTGGTTTTACTCTTTAGAGATGGGATACGAAATGAGCATGTACTTGAAAAAGTTAGAGTAGATCCTGTGGAAGATAAGATTAGAGAGAGCCCTTAGATGGTTTGGTCACATAAAACAGCGGTCTTCTGATGACTTGGTTAGGATAGTAGATGTATTGGATTTTGCTTATGTTAATAAAGGTAGAGGTAGACCTAAAAAAACTTGGTTAGAAAATATTAGAAATGACCTTTTAGGTTTAAATGAGAATTTGACTTTTAACAGGGCACAATGGAGAAAAAGGATTCATGTAGCCAACCCCACATAGTGGGATAAAGGCTTGATGTTGTTGTTGTTATTATTGTTGTTGTAGTTGAGATTTGAGATTTATATGTGGCCATTGGAAATTATGTCATCACCTGACCTAAGAACTTGTGTCACGAAGGTGGGTACAACTGATTGGATGGTTGTTTTACCATTTGTCAATTATAATCACAAATAATTCAATAGAAATATCTTACATTCTATAAAGTGCCACTAAATCACAATATTTTGTTAATAGTTAAACGATATGTAAAACAATTCTAGTTCATACCTTTTAAAAGAAATGAACTAAAATCACATACATAT